TCGAGGTGTTGGACCTCTAATACGTGTCGCATGCAGCAGGAGCAGTCCCCACTCCCCAGCTGCAACATCCTAGCTAGATGGATTCTTCAGCAGCTTCCTCTCGCCGACGGACGCTGTCGGCAACCGTGGCCTCGTCGCCCTCGTCGTGACCGAGAGCATGCACATCGGCGAGCGACCGCACAATTGACGTAGCCCGCCGTGACCGAGAGCATGCACATCGGCATTTTCGAAGTTTTGAAAATTCCACCTATGATCTCTCTCTTTTTTTCTAAATTAGTAACCATAGTTTTGTATCTCTTTGAATTATAAAACTACAGTTTTTGTGATACCATAGTTTGCCAAAACGATGTCATCCGAACAACACGTCTGCTAGATATTTTGTGTAAGCTTCAGTAATACATGCAGTCCTCAGATCACAGCTGGCACGACTCAACGGTCAAGGTGTTGGACCTCTAATCGGTGTCGCATGCAGCAGGAGCAGTCCCCACTCCCCAGCTGCAACATCCTAGCTAGATGGATTCTTCAGCAGCTTCCTCGCCGACGGACGCTGTCGGCAACCGTGGCCTCGTCGCCCTCGTCGTGACCGAGAGCATGCACATCGGCGAGCGACCGCACAGTTGATGTAGCCCGCCGTGACCGAGAGCATGCACATCGCTTCGGCTCAGGTTCGTCCGTCCGTGTCAACTGTCACGAACCCAAAGGGTCCTGCGTTGCTGCGTTGCAATGCAATGTGTGATCTCCCGCTCCCGCCGTTTTCCCCCCTAGGACTAGGAATATCTCGCGCGCTCTCCCGCCGTACGTTGCTCCGCTTTCGCGTTCATTCGCATGGCGGCGAGTGAGCCACGGCATGCCATGCGCGCACGATCAAGAGAGTATCCCAACAACTGGATCTGGATTCGCACGCACGGCCTCTCTGCGTGCAGGCGCACGGTCACACAAGCCGCATGAGCGCCCAGGTGTGCATATGCACGCAGCAGTGCAGCGCGTCATCGGTGCAGTCGCGACGTTGACCCCGATCCCTCTCTCGATAGCCGATCGGTTGTTGCATGCATGTCCAGCGCTCAAGGAGAACACCGAGTCGTACTCATACGCCCATACGTGCACGGCCAATAATAATGCATCATCCATGTTGATGTGAGCCTCTCGTGTCACTCGATGACTGGCCGCATGCATGGCATGCTCGATCTGGCGTGGTACGTATATCCAAATAAATAGGAAAGAAAAAAAAAACAGGCCAATTTTGAAATAAATTCGAGTTTGAGGAACCGTGGCATCAAGCTGTAGGTTTCGGAACAACTAGTGGAGATGTGCGAAACTATGGTTTCATGGTGTAATATGTACCTATTGAAGCTTTCTAATAAAACTCTAAAAAGCCTCTGACGCAAAGTACTTTAGCTTAAGAAAAAAAATACACGATTTGGTGAAATCTTTGGTTTCGTAGTGCCACAAAAATTCTAAAAATATTTTACATCCAAACAGAAGATAACAAAGAGATTAAGAAGAAGTTAATTAAGAGAATATAAGACGAAGGAACAGAGTCAGCGACAGCAAGCCTAGTATGGACCACCAGAAATCTGTTTCGGGCCAACTCGAACCTACGGGCTACGGCCTGATCCCTTCTCCCTAGGCCCACACAAAGGGAAAATGCACCCAACAGAAGGCCCAACGCAGATAACTTGCACCTTCTGCCATTTTTATTGTGCGCGCGTGATCGGTGATTAGCCATCCGGTGCCCTAAACTAGGCCTGCCTACGCCTACGCGGCGTGCCCTAAGAGTGTTTGATATTAATTGAATTATAGTAGTCTGGATTACATATGAGATCATAATAATTTAGATTTAGATTGTGGATTATATTATTATAATAATATAGAGGTCTAGGTTATAGAGATAGATTATCGGAAATACTATGTGACAGATGTCCGACGGATCGCACAAACGCTAGACGGTTTTCACCCCCGCCGCTTGCTCCCGTCCGCATGTATATTAAAAAAACTTATTCCTTCGCTTCCTCCTCCACATCCTTATCCCTCCCGTGCTCCTCATCACCTGCCGCAACGCACCAACGCCCGGCGTCCTCTCTCACCAGGAGCCCCCAACGCCCGCCGATCCAGCCGCCCTCTCCCCCTCCCCGGCGAGATCCATGGAGCATGAGCAAGATCCACTCGCCTCGGGGCGAGATCCATGAAGATGACGCGATGGTGTTGTGGGGGGTGGGCGCTCTCTCCCACCCGGCCAGGCGCCCTCACTTCCAGGCGCCCTCTCTCGTCCCAATGATCGAGCTCCCCCACCCGTGACCATGGCGCCTCTGCTCCCCATCCCCACCGTCACCACGAGCCAAGCCAGTGGCTGGTGCTCACAAGACGCTTGGCTGGTCTTTGGTGCTAGGTGGTGCTATCGCCACCGCTCTCCCACCCGTCGGCCCGGAATCGACCGGCCTAGGACTCTCTCCCCCTATGTTGCAAATGTATGTTTTAATTATTCTTAGATGTTTCAAAGGTATGTTGCAATTGTTTCGTATGGATGTTGTAAAAATAGATCGGAGGATGTTGCACATGTTGCAAGTGTTTCAGAGGCACATTGCAAGCGTTTGTTTAAAATGTTTTATCTGTTTCCAGATGTATGTTGCAAGCGTTTTGATCAGGATGTTGCATATGTTTTCACACATATGTTGCAACAGTATGTTCTAAAATGTTTCATCGTGGTTTCAGTCTTCTGCTGCAGCAAGTGTTTTCATGTTGCAAGTTGGAAGTGTGTTTATCTGCGTGTTGCATATGTTTTCACACATATGATGCATGGTTATAATGGTTTTAAGTGTTTTTGCAAGAGTTTCAGATGCATGTTTCAAATGTTTCATTTGTTTTCAAACGTATGTTGTAATTGTTGCATCTAGATGTTTAAAAACTAGATCGAGTGTTGCATCTCCCTCCTCGTCTTTTTGCTGTCTCGCCTCCGTGTCAGGCGTGGGAAGAAGAAGGCGGTCCCCACTGGCACGAGTGGGCCTCATGTGCTTGCCGGCGGGCGCAGCGGGCGAGATGTGGGCGGGCAGGCATGGGACGCGGGATGGGGGGGCAGCGGCGCGGGCATCCGAACGGGGGCTAGCGTCCGGACGTCCGGGCGCTAGCCACTCCCATAGATTATTGTTAATTAGAGTACAAATGGCTTATAATATCGAAAAACCAGGTTTGACATGGATTATAGGATTACAATAATTTGATGGTTGTATTATTATAATCTAAATTATAATCTAGGGTGCTTGAGTCACATTCATATTACTTTGGACATCAATTGGGTCCTTTCGACAAGCGGCAGAGACAAGGATGCTTCCACTGTTGTTCTCCGAGATAGATTGAGGAGGAAGAAGATGAACGAGGCTGACATTTAGGCCCACAATTAGAATGCTAGCGGATCCAAAATAGTCATCTATCCTTTTCCTCTCCATTATTCCAGCCAAACACAAAAGACGACTCTATCTCTTCAATCCAACAATGAAGTGAGGCCATTTCATCATCCCAGAAATCCGGGATAGAATTGTCTCTTCCCACATTGTCTTTAAAATTCAAATGAAAGGCAACCTTAGTGGAACCTCTCCATTGGGTTCAAGCCCTAGACTTAATATGATGCTTGCGTTTTTTATAAATCTATGGTACAATTTAATGGTGTTATTCTTTTAGTGCTTGACAACATGCACTGTCCATTACAATACATCAATGGCTTTTTCAATATCAAAATATTTTGGAGTGCTGGTATAAGAGCGTACTGTGATTAAAAAAAGAAAGTTAGCAAGTTTAAGTCAGTATGGGATAAACTACTTTGCCCACTACTTATGTATGTGTTTAGCCCACCCTTTTTTTTTTGCCTCATCATCCAAAAAGACTATTCCCTCTATTAATATTTTGGCTTTTCTAGATACCCCTGTTCGCTTGAACTTATCAGCTCGGATTTTCAGTCATGGTATAATATTTTTTTTCTCACAACAAAACAGCCGTAATTAGCTATCGGCCGTAAAAACCAACCGTCGAACAGCCAACAGAAGGAAGTACCTATGTATCTAGACCTAATGTAAACTAAGGGACTGTTTGGATGATGCGGTTTTCGAAAACTGTAATATTTTAAAACTGTGGTTTTATAGACAAAAGAGATATAAAACCATGATTTAGAAAAAAGAGGTTATGAGTGGAGTTTCTAAAACTTCAAAAAGACTACAGTTTTAACAAACCCATGGTTTTAAAGACTACAAGATTTGTTGCATCCAAACATCCAGTAGCTTTTAAAAACCAAAGTATTTTGTAAAACCATAGTATTTCTCTAATATTTCAAAAATATTTTGTATCCAAACGGGTCCTAAATATATAGTAAAAACTATATATTTAGAAAAACCAAAACGTTTAGGTTCACGTACCTGAATGAACCTCCGTATCCGTTCTCCCAAGCCTACACGGAGGAAAAACAAAACACCCAACAGAAGGCCACCATGGCAATAACCATGTACCAGTCAACCACAGCTCGACACGTCACCTCACGTTGGCAAACAGGAAACAATATCGCCACCAAGATCGTGGATCGGCACCGCCACGCCCCCCACGCATCGCATTCGCATAATAACGTCACTAGCTAGGACTCCGTAACCGACATAGAGATCGAACGAGACGCCGCCCGATCTCAACGCCAACGGACTCGCCTCCTCGCCACAACGGGCGCACCGAAACTTCCTTCTTCCGCTTCCTCTCCACCAAGAATTCAAATTTCAAAAAACGTGCGGGATAAGGAACCGCCCTCGCGCCAACCGAATTGAACCGACCTCGCCCCGATCCATCCATCCCCTATAAAAACACCCGCTTCCCGTCCACGTCCACCACCACCACCAGCAGTCGATCCACCACCACCACCCACCCGGCCTAGCGGCGGCCTCAATCAAGCTTGCTTGGAAGCACGTACGCGACCGGCCGATCGAGCCGCGCGCTCTCTCCTCAGTCGTCAGTCCTCACCGACGACGACTGACATGGCAGCAGCCACGGACGTGGATTTGGTGGACGACCTCGACGACATCGACATCGACATCGACGACTTCGACGTCATCCAAGCCTTGGATTTCGACCTGCTGGCCGACGACGATCGAGAGTTCCGCGGCGGCGGCGCTTACTACTCCGCCATCTTTTCCGACGCCGACATTGTTAGACACTTCAGGCACGGCTGCGAAGACGGCGACGGCGACGGCGACAGTGGCGCGGCAGCCACGTGTGGCTGGCTCCTGGCGGGGCTGGGCGACGACGACGACTGCGGCGACGGGGCGGAAGAAGAAGAAGCAGGGTCGTCTTCGTCGGCGGACTCCGGCATCACGTACGACGGGCCCCTGGCACCGGCGGCGGGGGACGACGCCGACGCCGAGGCCATGTCGGCGTACGTGGCCGAGCTGGAGCGGTTCCTCCTGGACGACGACGAACAGCCGGAGGTGGATGAGAGCCTTCTCGGCGTCGTCGACGACTACTTCGCCGGTGACCAGCTACTTGCCACCGCCGAGGTCGTCCCGGCGGCGGGCGGTGCTGCTGGGCGGACTGAGGGAGAGGAGGAGGAGGAGGAGGAGAAGGGCGACGGCGGCGAAGACGTTCTTGCCGCGCGAGAGGACGAACAATCGGACTCGAGGAAGCGCGCAAGGTACGAGTAAAAATTTTTAGGATCAAGCTAGTAAAAACTTGCATGGGTCTTTTGCATGTACTGCAGTTTTATCACTGGCGTCACATCACATGATCCATCAAGTTTTAGAATCTTGGCGATGCTTAGCTTAGCTAGCTAGGAAATGAATGCCGGATCGATCGAAATGGAGCAAGCCAGCAGCAGGCTGTAAATAATTAGATCCCTCAAAAAAAGCTGTAAATAATCAGCACTTTTAGTTTTAAGAAAATTTCGATCGATCAATGGAAGTTGTTTGCTTGTATAGAAATTTGAAATTTGTGGCTGCCTGCCTAGCGATTGTTTTTTTACAAATAATAATGCATGCATGCTTCATTCTCGTTCTTATATACCTAGCGATTGTTTTCTCTTGATATCTATGGCAACAGCAAATTTGAATCTGTTTGCTCCGAGGGGATCAAGTGAGATCCAGGTGATTTGGTTCCGGATGTCAAGAGACAAGGAAGCAAATCTAGCCGTAGATCACCTAGAATGTCCAAGACTGGTCGGATTCTATTCCAGGCCAAGCTTAACCGAACGGCAATCTTTGTTGGTCGGGTTTTTGTTCCAGGTCGTTCTGAACCAGGCAGATTGGGTCTCGTTCCGGGCCGTTCTGGGAGAAACGAACGAGGCCTAATCGGGATCAGTAAAATGTATGACCCTTCATCGGAACATGTCACAAGGATTTTTAGATTGCTGTGTAATGTCTGACGCACCTTGAGGGTGTTTTGATAGTGTTTCTCCACCTAGGTACCAAAATAAGCCTGGTGTTCTAAGTGATTTCTGTTACTAATAATGAACGGTACTTACCAACACCATCACGCTATTGTTGTGCTTCTCTCGACCATCTCCGTTCTGGCTTATCTGCTCGGGTATGTGTGCACTCAAGTTTCTAAGCTAGTTCGCCTCTAAAAATACCAATTCATCAGCATCGACTACTTCTGGTGTAGCTGTGTTCTTGGGGCGTAGGACAGCACTACGAACTCCTACCTGCTCTTGCGTTTCGTTCCACTACTACTTTTTGAGTAGGACACCATGCACGGATGATGATAGCGCCTTCGGTGCCATTTGCACTCACTACTACACCAACCATTTTTTAGAGACGCGTCTATTTTAGCGTAGAGGTGGCCCTATCAAAGTCCACCTCTAAAATGGTTTCTAAGCTATTCGCCTCTAAAAATTGACTTTTAGATGTGGCCTAGCCTCCTATGGAAATAGCCTCCAATAGAAATCCCCTCTGTTTTTAGAAGTGGATGGAAAACCCAAAACTACCTATAAAAAATACTCACTCCGTCCATAAAAAAATGCAACTATGTGAGTTGTGTCAGTCAAACTAGTTTAAATTTGACCAAATTTATAATGAATAGTATTGATATTTGTGTCTTCAATAAAATGTACTATGAAAATATTTCATAATAAATTTAATGGTACTTATTTTTATCATGAATGTTAGTACTTTTTATATAACTTTAGTTAAAGTTTAAATTGTTTGATTTCTCGTAATGCAAAAATTGCATCTTTTTTAGGACAGAGGTAGTACTATTTTTAGAGGTGGTTGGGTTTTACGGTCGCCACTAAAAATAGAGGCGGTTAGCTATTTGGCCTGCCTCTAAAAATATATGCAACGCTGTAAAATTTATATTTTTTTTCAAATCAAGTCGGATGAAGACAAGTTTATATCAAATTGTAGCACTCGTCGAGTACTATAGTTTTTTAGTTGACAACCTTTTCATCTGAAACCATTAAAATCCCAAAAAAATTGTTTTAATTTTTCATAACTTGAAATTCAATTCTTTTAAGCTTTTCAAATTATCTTAGAAGGGCAAACGACATAAACCGAAGTTATGTTGTAGTACTCGAAGAGATCTGCATAGTTTATTAAATTTTCATTTGAAACTATTAAAGAACTAAAAATTATGTTTTATTTTTTTAGATTTTGAAATTTATTATTTTTTAAATATCAAATGACTACAGACGGAGAAATGACCTAAATCATATTTTAGTCTAATTTACAAAATCTGTAAAACGTTTTTTTTCTAGAGACAGGCAAGTAGAGGCGGACTAAACAGTTTTTTTTAGAGACAAACAAGCACAGGCGAACCAAATGGACACCTTTACAAACCTATTCCAGCCGCCTAAAAAAAGTAGTATATATATGTAGCAGTGGCTGGGCTGGCTGGTGCTGGGCTTATCAGCCCAGCCGTTCGGCAGCCCAGCACCAGCTAGCCCCAGCCGAACGGCTAGAGCTTATATCCGTTGCGGACTCCTGTCCGTCACTTTCTCCCCTTCCTCCCGTCACTTGCGGTGGCTAGGGTTCCCCGCTGACGCGCCGCTCCTCGCCTTCGCACCGCGCATGTACGGGCGGTAGCCTGTGCCGCGTCAACGGCCGCCGTCGGTGGCCCCTAGATCCGGACTCGGCCGCCTCTGTACTCCGTCCTCCTCGGCGAGGCTACGGTGAAAGTGTCGTCGTCCTCTTCCCCCACCCCGCCTACATCGACGACGACTTCGGCCAGCGAGGTAACCCGGATCCCACGCCTCCGACCTCTCACCTGGCCGCCTCTGAGTCGCAGCTGGTCGTCTTGTAGGTTGAGCTCCGCGCGGCTAGGGTTTCCCTCACTCTCGTCGGCCTTGGTGACAGTGGGCTCGGCCTTCCTCCCCGGACCCGCCTCCATCGACGCACGACTTGACCCATGCCGAGGTAACCCGGATCCCACGCCTCCGTCCTCTCACCTGGCCTCCTCTGAGCCGCAGCTGGTCGTCTTGTAGGTTGAGCTCCGCGCGGCTAGGGTTTCCCTCACTCTCGTCGGCCTCGGTGACAGTGGGCTCGGCCTTCCTCCCCGGACCCCGCCTCCATCAACGGCGACTCCTTCCACCACGGTAAGCCCCCCCGAACCCCACGCGGTGTTGAAAGACTGTCATGACATGGCGGTGTTGAAAGACTGTCAGGACGACGCTTCGTTCCCACATCCCCCACCAGGTTCGTGATGTCTGACTATTCAAATTCCTTGTTTCTTGCTTGCAGTACATGAATTGAAGCATACTGGTGTTCAATTTCCTAAGACAGCTGATGGCTGCTTTCATTGCTTGTAGGCTGGTACTACCTGGCGGACGCGGGTTACAAGGAGATGGCAGGTTACATGACTCCCTACAAAAACACAAGGTGTCACATCAACGACTTTAGGGGCATAGATTTGCAGCAATTGCAGAGGGAGAAGTTCAACTATATTCATGCAAAGTTGCGGAATGTAATTGAAAGGAGGTTTAGGGTGTTGAAAGAACGCTGGCATATTCTGGGCGGGGTGCCGTACTGCAGTAGGAGGAAGCAGGCTATGATAATCATTTCATGCTTTGCTTTAGATAATTTTTTGTGGATGCGTAAGTACGGCGCAGATCCACCCTCGTACGAGGTGCCGCAGTGGGCTGACCTAAATTTAGACACCCCTATCTCTGGACTTAGGGAGCTGATATCCACGGCGGTGTGGAGTGTTGTCTGATGTAGGTCAAGGCTGTGCATGTGTAAGGTCGTTTGGAAAAAAGGTTTGTGGGACTACCATATTGTGTTTGTTGATGTATGACGAATTGTAGTGACATAACTACAACTGCCAAGTTCTGTACTGATTGGTGTTGTGATGTAATACTCTGGTTCTCAGAGGTATGATTTCATAGTAGTTGCTACTCTGTTTCTGTGATTCACTTTGCCAAGGTCTGTACTGTTTGGTGCTGTGATTTAATACTCTGTACTGTTTACTTGCTACTCAAGGATTCTGTTCCTCAGAGGTATGATTTCATCATATTTGTGTTGTATTTGTTCATATGGATGATTGAACCAGAGGTAATTTGAGTTTGTAACTGGGCAGGAAGAGGTGCAGAATGAGAGAACCTTCCAGTTGACGGAAGAAGACGTGCTTCGTGCTGTGACAGTTTCAGCTTCCTTTATAGCATTTTCATTGAACCTCTGCTGTCATGTTTCATTTGTATATAGTGTTGGTGATTCTAAATTGGCTTTGCAGATTCATCCTGTTGTTTCTCGTCTATGTGCTTCCATTCGTGGTACTAGTCCTAAATGCCTGGCCGAATGTCTGGGACTTGATTCGCTAAGGTGCGTATGTTCTATTGAGTCTTCGATATTTTAAATGATTGGCATCATGTCTTTCAATATAGAGTTTGCTTTGATTCTTATTACAGGATCGGTTCCAATCAAGAGTGACTCAGATCTAGCAATCAAGATACATCTATGATCTTTGTTATCTCAGAATCGATGATGAATGTTAGAGGTGAACCTCTAACATATCAATTTCGTTAATGTTGCGATATTTCGGTTATTCAAATATTCTTGTGTTTTAATGACGAGATATCGTGGTTGTGCGCCACTTTGCGCTTTGTCATGCCCAAGCTGTTACGGTACCTTCGATTGCCCTCCACGTATCTAGTCCGATTACTAGTGCTACAAGTGTATGCGAGAATTTAAGTTGATACAAACTAAACTTATGTTGTCCATGTGTAGATGAAAAGACACACGATAATTTCATTAGTCTATATTATAAAGGTTTGCGGATGGTAAGTGTTTTAGGTTGAGCCTTTGTATATTATACAATGCCCTGCTTATGATTACACTTGACCTTTTGGTCGTTCTTTTCTACCGGTGTGACGATGAGGGTTGCAAATCTTGGACTCACGATGTAAACCTTACAGCTTATGGTGGATTCCGAGAGAGGAACCATCTGCCCTAGCTACCCACGCTGCAACGGTCGCCTAGTAAGACAGGTTTGTTGACACTCTGACTGAGCTTACAATGTGCCCATTTGGGCAAGTGGCAACTGGTGTCTAATACAAAACCTCTGTGTTTAAAGAACTCGGAGGCAGATCTATACAGGCAACTGTCATACTTTTGATATGTACTTGATGCAACCCGGTGTCTTGAGAAGGTTCACATCAATCTAACCATGTACTTTTTTTACTTTCTAATCGAACCTATGCCATAGCTGGCTTGATCTT